CGTAAACCTGATTTATTACTGGCAAATATATATAAGTAAAATTATTTTACTGTAAATGTGAATTCTAAAAACATATCACCTTAGCAGACAACCTGAAATCATTTTTAGACTAAAAATTCAGAATGAAAAAAAAAAAATTCACAATTAAGAGTCTTGCAATTGTTTTCCTTTTGGCTTGCAATCTTGATTTTAACATCAACAATTAATCAGCGTAACTTATCATGGTCAATTGGTTTTCCATCCCAAAGGCCATTATATAGGATGGCAGTATGTTTCCTCTTAGAGACCGTGCCAGGTTCACTGTGGAGCAGATGGCAAGTCAACTGGGTTTAGGTGGGTAGTCTAGATAATGCCACATTAAGTGACATCTTCCAGCAGGAAGTCAATTTCATTGGACGCTGGTGCCACCTTGACACACCACAAGACTATCTGCTGCTTTCCATCAGACCTGTTGCCACGGCCACATGAAAACAGAGACTCTTGGGCAGTCATTGGAATATTCAAACAGTGTACTCCCGGAGATTTATTACAAACACACCCCAGCTTCCAGGTGACTTTCTGCCCTTTAACTGTTCAAACAGAGATGGGAGTATGGCTCCACTCCACACTCTGAAAGAACTATGGCTTGAACAGACTAGGAAGTATTTCTCTATAGCGCCAGATACACAATCCACAATTTTTTTGTCTGGCTGAAAAATCAGATAGTGACACTATATTCCCTTTTCCCTTTACTGAAGTGCAGTTGCCTAAAATAATTGAAAATTGCCACTTTCACAGTAAAATAATAAAAATAATAATAAATGTCCTCATCAGTAGTATATATTTTATCAAATGAAAACATATCTGACATCCTATTTAGTTTAAACTCAGGTTAAATTTGATCTGAATTTATATGTCCTTAGCATTAGCTTGGAACAGAAAAAATTTACTGTTACACTTTTCTAGAGTTCTGACTTTTATTTGACTTTAACTCAGCACTGCCAGTTTTAAATGAGAACATGAACTCTCACTGGTACTCAATTCCTCTGAAATGAAATAGTGTCTTAGCCAGCGATTCCAGTAGGCGTCATGTCGCTGGCGTAGCCGTGGCAGAAGCAACACTGCGCTCTGCCAACGTTCTATTTCATCTTTCCTGGGCAGCTTTGTTATTGTGCATATGTTTGTAGGCATGAATCTCCTTGTCTAAAGATTACACTACAAAAGAAAGGTCTCTGCCTCTGGAATGAGGACTAAAGCTTCTGAATGTGGTGCCTTTGATAGCAAAAATTGTAGCTGATCAATTTACATCCCAGAGAAAGAGTACCCACCTTTTTGCCAGATTGTAATTAGCTTTAAAATGGTCTCTATTTTACTAGCTGAAAGAAATATGCAGATTACCTTTCATTAGCATCTTTTAAAATTATTTTAATGCGTAGGTTTTCCTGGTTTTTGAATAAAATAGGAGTTTCCCTATCCTGTGCTTGATTTTTTTGTGATATTAAGGAATGATTATGACCTTTCATCTTCAGTCTGAGGTTCATGTCAACCATCAACATTCTTTTTACAGTGGTAAAAACAGATTTTAATTCAGGACTGTTACCACAGGGGCCAAAATATTTCAGTGTAGATCTCAGTTCAGCTCCAAATACAGCTTGGGCAAATGGGCATTTATAGCCAAGAAACATGGTGGGGGCAGAGGGTGGAAAATTACTATAAGGAACTACTAAGAAACATCAGGGCATAGGTGATTCTGGTAAACTGACTTAAGAGAATTCTTGCTGAGACAGGTTAGAGTGATCAGAGGACACTAAGGCGTGGTCAAGGAAGAAGAAACCAATTAGGTATTGAGGGTGATCAGATATGGAGACAGACGGGGGGGTGTGCTTAACTGACTTAGCAGGGGGAGGAGGTAAATGTTCAGCAGGTGGATAAAGTTTGGTAAAGCAAGAATCTTTGTCAATACCTATTGATATATTGGTTCATATTAATGCTATTAATTCTTTATGCATATTTTTATTAGAAGTGTTCCATTTCTTTAAATGACCATATTCATAATATTTTATTTTTCATCTCTACAGTAACTTTTTCACATGGCATTAGTATTATAATTCCTACTTATTTTGTGGTGCATTTAGCTTTCTCCCTTTCTGTGAATCATCGACATTTTAGGAGAAGAGAAACCAAGATTCTCCATTGGCCTCTTTGAGTTTAGTTAAAATCCATCTCAATATTACCTGCCTGCCATGGGGAGCAGCTAATATGTTTTGTTCAAAGCTGAGTTTACAAGAGCACTGCCTGGTGGCTGGGGCAAGGGAGCAC